CAGTGTAGGATCAGGCAAGAGCCAGAGATAGCACAAAGGAAGGGGTGCAGCACAAGAATGAGAACTGGACTGTGTAGCCAGGCATTACAGTTTAAGTCACCATGCAGCTACAGACCAAATTTAGCACCTCCAGTTAGGCAACATGAATATCCCACCAAGTTGCCCTCCTTGAAGTGTAAACCAAGAAACTTAAAGTGTGTTTTACTATGCTGCAAGCATAGCAGCATTTGATTCATAATCACACAAATTTGCTAACAGACGCTAAACAGGACTAAATAGTACTCCGTGGGGAAAGACAAGAAATCAACTCAAGGCAGCACTGGATCCTAAGGGAAGATGCAACATTAGAGATTAAGGGGAGAAGAAGGAATAAAAGCAGCCAATCAGGCTTTAATGTAATAATGCTGTGATGCAGTCATGTGCAAGGACACTGTCAGCCTCTGCAGAGGTACAATGGAACTATTAGCATGTTGTCAGTGTCTCTATATTTAGAAAACCATTTAATCTCAATATTCATTCCACAGCATGTGACAGCAGTGGAGGCCCACAAACCCTAAAAATGAATATTCCTCATGTGAAATAGAGGGAACTGAAAGGTTCTTCCTAACTTTTGGACAAGAATCCTTAATCAAAACTGTAGTTGGCTCAGTCTTGCAAAAGTGTCATAAACATTCTGAGCCAGATAAAAAATCCATTTATTCAACATTAACCTGGCACAGATGTAAAATAAATGAGAGATAATTTATTCAGCTACCCAGGAAAACATAATTTCCCACAGTGAGTGTACTTTAGCAAGTCTTGATCAATCTAACTCTACCCTGTCACACAGAAATGCCACTATTAGCTTTCCAGTCTGTGCACAAATTAACACGACCCAGCCACCAAGCACACAGCACCAGTAGCTATAATAAAGCTGAGTACAAGGTCTGCACTCTTGTAGAGAAAAGTGGATGCAACTAACATCTCATAATAACTTCATGTCTGGAGCAAGGCCTGAGGTTCTTAATCTAAAGCCCAACAGGGCATATTTTTATTCTAAAAGGAGTTAAGAGCATTCTGCAGAAAAGGGTAAGAAAGGCTAACAATTCCTCCATGCACTTCTTATCAGTCCTATGCTCCACACAAATCACTGTGGGCTTTGAGAGCATGAAAGATCAGGTCTCAGGTCAACGGCAAGTTTAAACTCTGTGGAAACAGTGCTAAAAAGTCAAAGTGTCTGTCCATGCTACAGAGCTTTCCATTTGCTCTCACTTGAGTGCTGCATCACATTTCTTCAGTTAAGATCTTTTCTCATCAAGGAAGCTAGAATAGGTTTCTTCTTTTTAGCTAAACCTCTCTTAAAATGTATTCCAATAATCTTTCCAGTAACCAGTACATGTGTCTTTTAAATAACATAGCTGCACAGAAATAGTCCAGGCACACAGTAACAGCTCTTCATGGTGTGTCATGGTACACTATTTAGATTTATTTACTGAGATAATGCAATATAGTGCTAACTAACAAGTATCTCTGCTGCAAATAAATTTCACTTTCTCCTCTCCCCATCTTCAGCTTCACATAAGCAAGTTTTGTCCCTTTACTCATGTCAAGTATTCAATTGAATTTAGCCTGAGCAATAAATGATGCCCTTTGCACTATCTCTACGTACACATGGAGCACTTGAAACTGTTCTGGATACAACAGATGCAAGAACCTCTAAAAGATGTATGAATTTTCCCCAAGACAAACCATGTAGCTGCTACACAGCCAAGATCATCTCACTGCACTAGAATAAGCTACAGTCCTTACCTGAACACAGGTGTGCCTTTGTCTCTCTGTATGAAATATGGCATATTTTTCCTCAACCTGGGCTGTTTGCATCACCCAAAGGACAACTACATCACTTTGCACAGCTTCCAGCTACAAACACTCAGGGGCAGTCCATGTGAGTGATTTATGGCATAGGAGGAGCTCTTCTGGAAACAAATTTGTCTTTGATCTATAACTAGGATGTTGCAGTAGGCAACCATCCATAACACTCGTAACATGGATACAGGTTCTTGCAGCAGCCAGCTCTCTACATATAAGTAGCAGGTGCCTGTGGCCAGAAAATGACAAAAATCTTACTACTGGTGAAGAAAAAATGTGGATGTGTGGTGCTGGAACCAGAACAGATCAGAGTGAATCAAACCACTGTGCTCGCCTCTTTCAGTCACCAGCTGGCAATGCAGATGGACGCATCGACTCAGTTCTGCTATTTTGTTTCTGTTAAAAGCCCTACTGACATTCAGAGGTTCACACGTGCATTAGTGCCATCAGTCAATGCCCCAAAACACTATATATTTTTTAAAACCCCTTATTTTCGGAAATTGACTTTACTGCTGATATTTGCAACCAGGATTTATGGACACTTCTGCTGGAGTAGGAGTAGTACAGGTTTCTGATATCATTATGATATCATTATCGTGGAAATGGATCCAGATGCTGAATGTGTCTCAACCAACAGACCTGTAACCATAATGATTGATTCTAATACTTTTGGGAGTGTTTACGTGATTATAAAACTGCTGCAAGGTAAGCTTCCAAATATTACAACACTAAAGTAATGCTCTTATGAACTATCAATTCAAAAGGTTTTTTTGAAGCTTATTTTATAAAGTTCAATTCATTTAAGTGGGAATAATTTTGCAGATATAATCCTCAAGGAATGGAATACTGAAAGCTCTTTAAATCAGTTGATTTGGAATTTAATGCTGCACTAGCAAAAGGAGTTTTAGTAAATAAAATACCTGACAGTATCTGGCTGTAAAAGGAGGAGAAGGACACTATCTTTGAACTGAGCATTCAAAGGACACTCAAAAAAAGTCAGTGAAACTCTTCTTTTAACAGAATCTGGTTATTACAATTTTTTTGTTTTGTTTGCTTGGTTGGTTGTTGTTTTTCTTTTTCCTGCAGTAGAACATACAAGCATATAAGCAGTAACATAGAAGCAACCATAGCTAGGGCACAACCCCTTGTCAAGGCTCCTGCAAATGTTAATGTGATTCACTCTCTTTCATTGCAGGATGTTGCTCCACATGTATCCTTGGACCGTATGGAAAACTGAAAGCTCAAGAACTTCATAGGTTATAAATTAAGTGAATGTAGTCACTTTTCTCATATGCCCTGGTATAGGAGAAGAGCTTGGAGTTGATTGTAAGAGGAACATTCTTCTAATAATGCTTACTGCAGTTTCCTTATCTGTAGTCACATACTGATAAGAGCTATACTAGGTGAAAAGAAATAGAAGAAATTAAAGGTTTGGTACCTATCATCTTTCTAATGAAAATTCCATCTCATGTATCAGCCAAGACACACAGCTGGGATGGCAGGAATATGTGCAAAGTCTGACCAAGAATCCATCACAAATATGTGCAAATATATGCCCTACCAGGACTCTGGGGGTTGTAGCATAAAACCTAGTTCACTGTCCTCATTTGGAGCTGATCTGGACCTTAGACAGGAACACAAGCAATAAGAATGGTTTATAAATAACTGTACAGCTCTGGTCCTTCATATATGTGTTCCCAAAATTAACATCACTCACATGAGTGATCCTATTAAATCCACAGCATCATTTATTGCTCACAAAAGGAAAGTCCATTAAATCCACAGCATTACCTATTGCCCACAAAATGAAAGCCCATAAACCACTTGACTATCTCTAACCTGAGGGATTTTATCATCTGTGAAGCCTTGGACAAGCTAAGAATGACATTGCTCTGAATTAATTACTCCTTTGTAGCTCTTCTCATCACTTTTTGCATTAGACAAATGTCAGTATTTACAGGATCAAGTTCTTAATTGAAAATGTTCCCTGCCAACTCATGCAGCCACCAACAAAACCAGAGATCTTATATCAAAATATTTTAATGATCCTTTAAGAAGTAAAACATGATGAATGTCACATGTTGCCACCATCCTGAGATTGTGCTTTGCTACAATTAAACCAATAGCCAGGAGTTTCAGAATTTTCCAAATAATCATTACTTTGTATTTTAAAAATGATTACTCAAAATTCATAAATGTAGCAGTCACTGTGTGAAAAAATCACCACCTTTTCTCTCCAAGTGTAAAATATTTCTCTATTGTAATAACGCAGTTTAATGCTCACAAAATCACATCAGATCAAATCCAACACAGAACTGCTGAGATACACAGAAATTGTCTTCCTTAGGATCATCACCCTGGAATTAAAACAATATGTTATTGATATTCCTTGTATAGTAGAAAAACTGCTTGCTATACTTGAAATAAGCCAATAGCTTACTCTTCTGTGTATGCATTGCACCCTCTGCAAGGATGCTTTTTCATCCTTATTTCAGACTGTGAGTCTGTGAGATCTATTATACAGAATCATCAGCTCACAAAATTCTCCTGGGTAAGCTGGACTGCTAGTGCCTGGTCTAGCTTGAGCACTTGCTCTTTCTGAAGGAGGGTTCCTTCATTTGAATAACCCCAGAACTGCTCACACCTACCCCACCTGCATGACCCTCTTCAGGCTTCCTAAGCTAATCAAGGCTGGGTCTAACCAGTATCTTCATGGGAACACATCCACTGCTAATCTGACTATGGAGATATTCTAAATTATAGTATTTTAATCATATTTTGAATTAGCTAAAGATTGAAATGATTCTGGGTCTTCAACAGGATAGTTCTGCTGTGGAAAATCAAACAAAACCCTTGGAGATCTGTAAATACTTTTTCACTTGAATTGAAATCTAACATAAATTCTAATTTGATTTAATCTATATTTTTCTATTCAGGTGAGTTTTAATTGAAACAGAAGCAACCCATCTCCACTTGTTTCATTACTGACATTATTCTTAACGCTTAACTTTGTTCACTGAATGCATGAGCAAAGTGTGTGCTTAAAAGCTGCACTGCATGGGTGCTATTGCAGAAGACCTTCTTCTCAATATTACATATATCTAATAATTTCATGCTGGATAATATTTGCTAAAGTCAAGGATAGGCTGAAATCTGTCAGCCTGACAGGAATCTAGAGGAGTCCTTATTTTAAAATGTGGTATCATTTTTCTCAAAGTAATTAGAAGTGAACTGTGGGGCAGTTCATATTTCTCTAGCTACACTGAGACACCATGAGCATAAAAGAATTTCAGCAGAATTTAAGCTCATGTTGGTATTCTACTGTTATAAATAGGTTATATATAACTGTATTTATCGCTTACTTGTATTGCAGCAAATTTCAAGATTAAAAAAATATCACAAGCTGACAGAGTTTGGAACAAAACGATCCTCTTTGATCTTAATTCCTATGCAAGTAAGCAGGCAGCCCTCTGCTCTACAGGATGCTGATCTACTAGTTCCACCTTGAGTGGAGGGAGTCACTGCTGCTCTCTCAGAAATAGATGGCATTTAATCATCTGGTTGGAATTAAAAAGCCCCATACCTAAGTTTTACTTTCCAGGTAAGATACACTCACACAGTCGAAGGTTCAGCAGTTCTTACTTCCTAATCATGAGCACACCTCTGCTCAGCCTCTCCTCCCTCAGTCCTTCTGCTCAGACAATTGAGCAATATTTTTCTTCCCCAGGTTCAGGGTCTCAGTTTCATTCTTTCTTTTGGTGTGTTTTTTGTTGACTGAGTCCTCTGAGCAGCTGCTTAATGTTACTGTTCTGTATGTCAAAAACCCGCATACCTATCTTCTTTTTCTAGCAAACAGAAAACCTGATGGATTCTTGGTCAGACAAAATCTGCATTTTAACCAGGCTTCTGGGCAATCAAATTTATGCCAGTCTGATTAATTTATCATCTGACAATTTTTCTAATCAGATTTTTCTTTCTATTTTTAAATATGAATCAGGTCATTTCCCCTCCTTGAACCTATGTTTACTTGAAGCTAATGACATGCCCTTCAGGCTTATCAGGTTAAACTAATGAACAAACAAGACTTCCTTCAGCTGCAGGGCCATAGCAAAAATGATTTGGTAATCTAATACAAAATAATAAATACCATTATTTTAATTACATTTCAAGATTTTGCTGATGTTGCATTTTACATTTTACCCTTTGTGATAGGTATGCACCTACTGTAGTGAAGGCATGTACATGTCTGTTGAACATGATCAGAAATGTGCAGGAGCACATTAAGGCAGATGGAATCTCCCAGGCTGGGGGACTCTACAAGGCTCTAACATATGGCAATTCTCCCTGTCCAATAAGAAAAGTTCAACTTTTCAATGGCAAGGATGGTGTTTAGGAGCAATATTGCCAAAAATGATTAATTGGGATGCATTTATACTCTCCCTATAGGTGCTTGCAGCAGAGCAGCTTCCTTCACTTCCTATTTACAGCAACAAACTTTTGTGTCCCAGTAATATGTGAGAAAAGTTCTGCCTGAGCTTTCTATGGGCACCCAGGGGTGTAACAAACCTTCGGATACCCAGTAATAGGAAGAACATGGAGCAGGGAGAACACAAAGGGGAAATTGAAGAGAGAAAGGAGATTGTTCAACTTTTAGAAAAGGTTATCTTCAGTGAAATACAGTCATTATAGAATTTTAATTACCTCTAATAGTTGATAATACTAACAGAATGGTAGTTCATACTGAAAGCATTTAATTTCTTTGGTTTTCTCTTTGGAAATATAAGTGTAAATTAGGGCAGCACAATTTATTTTTCTTGTGGCATTTTTTTTTTCTTTACAGTTTATTTTGCAAATTTAGCCACATAAGTGATCTTCAGTCTGTCAAGCAAGGACAGCATTTAATTAACAGATACAGATGCTTAAACATTTTAGTGGCTTCTATCTACTTCTCTCTAGAGTAAGTATTTCTAAAGAGCTGTCTTTCATTTTCTTAGCTGATGTAGTTACTACAATTAAAATTACACAGTTATGTCTCCAGAGATTTATATCATAGGAATAATAAATAAAATGGAAACTGTTGGGTATGAACAGCTTAGTGACTAAGAAAAATACATTATGTATTTCTTAACCTTTCCAGTATACTGCAACTTTTCACAAGTAAAAAAACATACCTCTGCCACATGAAACTGCATGCATATACAATTTACTTCCTCCTAGGTAATCTCTTGCCAGAGAATAGGAGAGCGGATTCACTAGATGGATTCTAGGTCCCTTCTCAGAGGTTTTGTATTATTTTAATAATCTACGAGAGCAGTTTAGTTCTGTATTTTTAAAAAAAAACCCTGAAACTGAATAAAATTGTGCCTTCTTGGTACTAGCAATCTGCTATTTTAAAACTTAGCATTCTCTGACAATAAACCAAATGTGAATATATCTTTGGTAGCATGTTTTCTAGATATCAACAAAGGATATTTTCAAACACATTTCAGAATCTAGCCAGAAGAAAAGCCCTTAGCTTTTAAACTCAAAATTTCTGGCTTGAACAAGATGATGTTATTTTAATTTATTTAACTTGAGTAATACAGTCATGAGACTACATCAGTAAAATTAAAGCATATTCTATACAATGGCAGTTCTATTGTACACGTCACTTACTGTTATATTAACTTGAACCCCCTGGAAAAATGGAGTTCTCTGAAAGGCAGATCTGACAACAGTATTGTGAGCTCAGGAATTTTTGAGTTAGCTTAAAAGACGAAGAAGTATTTATACAAATTGGTCTTATTTTGTCAACAGGGCAAATCAAGATTGAAAACATTGACAAATCTTTTCAGAGTCATCTGTAGTCTGTACACAGTAAACTGGCTCAAGGTCAGAGGCCAGACTGTGCTGCATTTCTCTGAGGCAATACACAGAAGGCAGAGGTCCAAGGGGGATGGGACAGATAGAAAGGACAGAGGACAAAGAATGACACTTCATCCCATACTTCAAACTCCCAGATTCTGAACTGCCTCAAGGTAAAATCCTCAGCAAGATCTGCTGTACTGTATAGCAGTTTCCTCACTGCTGCCCACAAGCTGTTCTGCAGCCCCAGGATGCAAGAGCACACTGCTCTGATTTTTACCTAACAAGAGATTGCTCCTTCATGGAGCAATCTTAATCCTTACTGTGCTCTCTGTATACATCTGGAAAGGCTGTGCCACGATTAGATGTCTTCTCTTGTAGATCACAATATGTGAATGTTTTTAATAAAGCAATTCTCAAAGGGGGCTGGTTCCTGGGAACTGATACCAAAGCAAACATAGGTTGGTAGAGACATGTATCTGAGATAAGGTGACAGTACTGACTGTCTGTGATTTATGGGGATAATCTGTATTTAGCTATGCTTCCCATCTAATGCTTACAATTAGAAAACATTTCTCAGCTTTGAGATACGTATTTATTTACAAAGCTCCAAACTTTCAGTTATTTAGGAACACAACTTTCATTGAGTGTAAGGTAGAAACGTCTCTCTAAGGAAGAGCAGACCCTTGACTCATTACTGAAATAAAGACATTTTATGTGATAAGAATGGGACCTACCTTTTTAGTCTGATTCACATTTACCAAACTGCAACTTCAAAATGCCTTTGCCATGAAGCTGAAGGATCTGGTTGTATTCTTTGGGCATTGCATGGAAGCCCGGTTTAGGCAGTTGGTTGTCGTAATAGTGGTGGCTGATTGGCATCTTCTCTGTGGATTTTGAAAAAGGCCAGAAGCCATAGAGCTTCACATTCTCACATAGCTCAAGAGCAGCACTAGTGATCATAAAACCAGATGACAACCGGTAGGCTTTCACACCCTTAGTTCTCCAGAACTGGGCAAGACTTTTCAGATAAGCAGGATGAAAAAATATTGCCCTTTGGGTTGCTTTGAACTCTTTCAGAGTGTGATATACTTTAAAAGAAGTGGCTGTGTTGCTTCTGAAGGAAAATGCTGGCAATAAAAGAAAAGCATCTCCATAGACGGCAATGTTTTCCAGAAATTCTGTCTTCTTTTCATTTAGCTTGTTGTATCTGCAAAGTACAACATTTTAGGAATGGAATGTACTATCAATATAAATATTACAGACCAAAACAGCACAAATGCACTGGCATATACGAGTTATGAACTCTGCTGCACCAGTTCAGCCTGTCTATACTGCAAATTTATATCACCCTATTATACGTTGTCATATGTGCAGTTATGAAAATTGGACTATTGTATAATAAGAACACACTACACAGGACTGAATTGGCAACACAGGAGCTACTGATGCAGATCAAAATCAGTGCTAATGAGACTAGGACCTGTTTACAGAATTGATTGATGCAAGAAATTTCAAAGGAGAATGCAAAAAAAAAATACCGTATTAATACATCCTCTATTTAAACCTACATGCACTAAGATATGTACTGCATATTTCTTACATTAATAGGTATAAAATAATCTCTCTTCAGAATCTGTGTGTCTGCCCTGTGTGGAAATACAAGGATGTATGTAAGCAGTCTTGGAGCATTAAAGATTAGTGTGCGCTCAGGTTTTGTAGTGTTTTACTTGCATTTGATATACTCTTAAAATAGCTAAAAATACAGGCATGTCTGTTTATATGCTTCGACTACCAAGGGAACATATGGAGATCTAGAAAGACTTAGAGCTCTAACTTCACAAATGAAGAGCATTCATTCTTGGCTGCTTTCAGTCCCCAACAGCAAAGAGACTTAGCTCTCACTACCGTACAATTCAAATTTGGTGCTCCCAAATACTGAATAGTGAAATTCACAAGTTATCCAAGAAGTGATACAAGAAAGGGCATCACTCAACTCATGTCCTCTATAGATCTCACTATTCTGAATCACTTGAACTTGTACTTGCACTGCCTTTGGGATTCAAAGCACTGAGTCCTCTTTTGTAGGGAGTTGTCTATTTGAGCAGTGTATTTTCACTTTTTAAGGGCTACCAAGCCCACTTTTCATGAATGGCTCCAGCAGAAAATGGGAAAATTGGCTTCACTTCCCTTCACAACTTGAGCAGGTTCAAACCCTCTTTTCATGCAGCACTTCAAGACAGAGGACAGCAGCTACTGCCATTTCCATTCAAAACCCTCACAGAGGAGTTATCAGTTACCTCTTGCACAATTGAATTCGTGCAAGCAGTGATACAGCCCTTCTCAGCCTGAAGGGGTTTAAACTTACAGCTTCTGCTTCCCAGAAAAGTGCCATTATCACCAGACTCTGAAACAAAATGAATGAGAAAGACTCAGGCCCTCCTGTTGACCCTGAGCCTCTGTGCATGCAAGAGTCACACAGCCAAAACAAGCAAGAAACACCTGAGCCTACAGCTAGGAAAAGTGGCTGAAGGCTGAATTTCTGGCCTCTACTCCAAGAATTTCTCTATTTCTACTCAGAGTAAAGTACATAAAGGGCCCCCAGGACAGAACTCAGATGTCTGCTCTTCCTTAGCTAGAAACCTGGACAACCCAACTTTGTCTTGTCCTTCTTTCCAGCTCTGCCACTGTAAGGAGAAGCGTAGCCCAGCTCCATTAGAACACATTAGAACAGTGCTTTTCTCCAAGAGAGTTCACCTACACCGTACACCCTGACAGACACAGTTCAAACGCTGATTAACCTTAACAATAATAACATCAGATGAACCTGGTATGCAAACACAGAATTAGAAATTACAGGGCATAATGTCAGAATAGGTCTTCTGAAAGATGAAATCAACTTAGTTCTGCTAAACGGTACCAAGTTGCTTCCTGCTCCTTTTTCCAAAGCATTTACAGTCTTCTCTGAATATTTAAATAAATAATTTTTTTAAATTCTGAAGTCCTCTTATAATCTCTTTTCACCCTTACACAGGTTTAGCTCCTATTATCTTCAATGTAACTCCTATTAACCCTGTGCCTTAATGTGGCTAAAAAATGAGGTCATTTGTGGTAGAACACTTTGATCAAGCCCAGACAAATCATGGATCAGGTCAGTAGTCATCAAGGATGCTGAGTCATTGGACACTTTTCCTTCCTCATGTTCTTGTGCAGCCCTGCTAACATCAATGAGCTAAATCTATTTTTGGGAAAGCAATAATTCGTCTTCATTTAAATCAAAAAGGTCCAGGTAAGCATTAACATAGTTAGTACTCATTCCAAAAAATGAAATTCTATCCCTGAATCAATGAAAAATGCCTGTTAGTCATTTCTATCTACTCACTGTACTTTTTTCTTCTTCCTTTCAAGGTGAAGGAAAAAAAGCTTTGCCTGATCTTGTCTTTTTGACCATACAGTTATGACAGACAATAAGATACAATAAGATACAGTAAGATCAGTAAGTAGCAAATAACATGCCACAGCAGTCCTTTTCATAGATAAGCTGCAGTTCCAGCCTGCTGAAGATGTCAGATTAGTCAGCCTGGCCTTATTAGATTTTCTTTTCATCAAGAAGGTGAAAAAAACCCACCAAAACCTCTGCTGAGAAAAAAGAGCATCTTTTATATGGATTGAGAAAATGGATTACAGAAACTGGGCCTCCATTCAGGAAACAGCCTTCACCAAAACAGCTTCTAAGCACTTTACCTAAGAACATGTGCTTACAGTCCTACTGATAGAATCAGACATACATTTCCAGGCTTTACCTATTTATGATTACAATTCCTTTCTAAATGCCTGGGGTCATGAGGGTCATGGGGGGGAAAAAGAAGAGGTTTGGGTTTACAATCATCGATTTTACTCTGCCATAAACTGTTGACTTGTGTCAGGTTCTTGCTAATCTGGGTATTGCTGACTCCTTTCTGCTACAAATAAGGCCAGGTTTAACAGATTTCCATTTAGACTAGTACATATTTTACACAGGAACTAAGGCTTAATGAGGTAATCTGCATGCACTGCTCTTATGATGGTATCCCAGTGAATTTCTGACAAAATTTAAATCATGTCAAACAATTATACACCATTGCACAGAAACAGATTTGCAGGTACTCACTTCTGAGCTATGATACTTGGATTAACAGTCACGAGGTTTGTTTTATTGCCAACATCTTTGCTAATGCTTCCCGTGGTTGGAGGAAGGTTACACCTGGAATTGAGAAACATTTGCTTAAACAGATGTGCACCAGAAATGCTTTACAGTTATTATTTGAAAATTCCTCTCTTGTGCAATGACACTTTCACATCAGCTCCCAGGGATGTCTAAGCACTTTACAAATATTAAATAAGGCTTACAGCACTCCTAGTAAAAATATTTAATCTACTGTACAGATGGTTAAAATAGGGCACAGAGAGCTGGTTTTTATAAATCATACCACAAACCAGGAGCACAGTTAAAATCCCAGAAGCATCCAGTCTATGAACACTCTACACTAGCTGCTAGGAAATACCTCTTGTCTAAACAATGAATTTCTACTGAAAGTCTTCTTCTGTGTCTTCGAATAACAGTGTAACTTGCCTTATTGCAGAAACAGTGATTTCCGTAAAATGCAAAACCATCATTTTTTTAAAGTTGGTTACTTGGTAAGTTTAGTATTTTAGTATGCAGATTTCCTACTTTTATTAGGACAGTTATCTAACTGGAAAGACCCTTTTTTAAAAAAGAGTTTTCAAAAGCCCAAATAGTAGCCAAAAGTAAGAAAAGGAAACAAAATCCAGCAGACTGGAACCTTCCTTCTGTTATTCTGTTCCCTTGTAGGAACTACAAAGCATGACTCCTACTGATAGTGTGGGCCAAATAATGCTCTGAGTACACCTGATTTTCTCCCAATCTATACAGCTTAATTTTTTAGATGACTAACAGAAGGTGAGAAAAATATCAGGACAGTTAAATGATTACATGAGTGAGACAAACTAAAGCTCAGTAAATCCTTTGTTAAGCAAGAGGTAAACATGTGGCATTTAATACCAGTCTCCTAAGGGATCCTAAATGAGCAGAAATTTCAGATGATCACATTTCACATCACTGCAAAGTGTCTTTGCAATTACAGATCATACATGTATCCATATAGACTCCTCTCTAATTAGAAGCAGCATTCTGAAAACTATGAAGCAGTAGTATTCTTAGAGAGGTAGAAAGAAAGAATTGTTAAGATCCTTCCTCATTGCTACAAACTGGCATTGGTAGGCTTCCAAGCCTGCCAAGTTTTTAGAAACACTCGACACACTTCAGCAAGTTGAAGCAGCTCTTACCTGAACACAAAGTCAGAACTATCTATTTCAGCTCCGCAGCTGGAATTTTTCAGAATGCCTCCATTTCCAACCACAGCACAGGTCTTGAAAGGATAGACTGAAAGAGGTGAGGACTGCAAACAAATAAAAAGACACAGACAATGCCTTATAAATCTTTTGATTGTTTCTTTGTGTCGATTTGCTCCTGCAGGTTTAATCTGGTAAATCCCAGGAAAAGCATTGACCATTTAGGCAGATAGGGTTGGCAGACCTTGACAGCCAAGAGCGAAAAACAGGCACCAACAAACTGAGAAGTGCTACTTCTGTCATCAGAATTTTGAGGGAATAACACTGGATTATTAAAACTGGGTATCTTTTAAATACACTTAACACAAAAACTATCTGGTGGTGAACTGAATCCTTGAAAAGCTAAGGAACTAGTTTGTACTGAAGATAGCTTAAATTTTACCCATTTTCCTTTGCACTGTAACAGATTGCAGGTTTTCATATAGTCATTGACTTTCTCAGCTAATAGAAGGGAACTTTGTAAATGCTCAGCACTTGTGTCATCCCACACTACATTTGAAGTAAAAAAATGAAATTAGGGGAACCTGAAGATGTTGAAAAGGATAATGATGTGCCTTGGCTTAAGTCATGGTGAATGTGAGGCCTCACTGATGAGGTTGCTGTTTCTGGCTGTTCATCTCTCTGCTCCTCTTCTTGTTACAGCTTGCTGTCTTGCCATGGGGAAGCTGAGAGGGAGCTAAGTGCATCCACTTGAGAACCAGCACAGATCACAACCTAGCAAATGAATGTAAATTTTTGGCTATTTCAGCTGACATTATATAGTTGGTTGTTATCCCAGCCTCTGAAACTTTTCGTACATCTTGTTCACCCCTTTCTGCTGTGGGAGCACTGACATTCAACAGAGACGCCAACAGTTGGGTAACTTTGACTGCAGAAATTAAAGCCAGTTGTAAGATTGAGTCAAGACTTGCTTATGGAAAGCATTATCCTTCCTCCTTCTCTCATCAGCTTGCCTGAAGAGAAGAAGGACGGGACACCATTACGAACAAGACGAAAAGTGTGAGGAAAGCAGCAAACATCATGTTGCCTGGCAATATATTACAAAACAACATGTCCAAACATTTTGTTCAATTCTGAAAAGACAGTAGAAGAACACAAAGGCCAGACAAACTCTGGCTAGCTTAGCACATACATGTGCACGTAAAACACTACTGTTCTCTTTCATTGAGTTTGTCTAGTTTGGAGAAAAGGAGGCTGAGGGGCCTCATTGCTCTCCACAGAGGAGAGCAGGGAGGAGGGGAGGAGAGGAGGGGAAGAGGGGAAATGCCAAGGAAGGTGCTGATCTCTTCTCCCTGCTATTCAGTGCTTGCTTTAAGTTGGTCAGCCCTGAATTGGTCAAGCAGTTGGACTAGATGACTGTTGCAGGTCCCTTCCAACTGAAATTATTCTATTTTGTTCTATTGTGTTCTATTCTATTCTATTCTATTCCATAGTGTGTTTATTCTATTCTATATTGTGTTTAGCTTTCATAAATTACATGCCAAGACGGCACCAGAAATGGCATGGGTATATGAAGAATATGAAATGTTCTTCCAGACTGAAATGCCTTTAAAAATGGGAATGATAAAAGCAAGGCAAATATTTTCAGAATATTCACTCCTGAATTCAGCTGGCTGCCAAGCTGGGCTATAGCTTGTGTTCTGCAGCATCTCTACCTTTAATATGATCTATGATACCCTGTCCATGCCTCGACCACAGCAGAGGAAAGCTGAAAAAAAAACCATATTGCAAGGTGAATAAAGAAGTGCATACAGGGTCTGATGGGCCTTTTCCAGAGGAATCAAAGCATCTCTATTACTAGCCCAATATATATATATGATACTGCAATTATAGTAATAGGTAAAGATACAGTTCTTACCACAGGTAGCATCTTAAAGATGTCCTCTGTAATGAGGATGGTCTTTTTACTGTCCACTTCATAACTCATGTTACTTCCCAGTGGGCTGTTGTTTTGAGAAGCAATAAAATTGTGAATTGCATCACAGCAGGAAGCTAATTCTGACCTGCAAAAAACCCAAAGAAAACCGGCTCAAAGATAGGCAAATAAGTAGGAAAGCAGTGCTGGAGAATTAGATTAATGAAAACCAGTTCAAATTAACTAAGCAACAAAAGGCTATATGAACCTTCTATAACGTCATTTCCCTTGACATGCTTTGCAGAGCAAGTCCATTTTCACAGCAAATGTTCAGAAATCAATCAGATCAAGAACTTACACTATTTTTCTTTCTTGGTCTCCTCTTCCCACCAAAAAAAGTTGTAGTCAATCTCCTCCACATTATTAATCGCTAAGATTATTATAGAAACACTGAGAACCTTCAGTTCCCAAAATTAACAATGGGATTTCAATCAACATAGAACAAGTAAGAAACTAGAAGGCTGAAGAAAGAAAAAATCAATGAGATGAAAGAAATGATGATGAAAGCTACTGGAGATAGTACTTGGTGAACAGCGAGATGGTTGCAAGCCAATTAATTAATAATTAATTTCTGCAACTGTTCAGCACAGTTTTCCTGTGCACATTATCAGAGATGCCAAATAAATTAGATCACAACTGCCACATAAAGAAGACAGATACTTTTGTGGTAGAGATAGACAGCCTAGCTGCTCCCCAAAACACCCAGCAGAAGTCCTTAAATAAGTAAGAGTGCAAGGGATTCACTCAAACTTTTTGTGTGAGTGAAGACTATCACTTATCTTACAATTTCTGTTACCTCCAAACTTATGAAAATATTATGTGTGCAAATATCCTGCATTATTAACAGTGAAATGCAGTGCAAAGCCCCATCAGACCTTTGAAATCAGACCTAAAACACTGAAATTCATTTTGCTTTAGGCAACAACATTTCCTCTGCTGCCACGGGATCTGATTTTCAGATTGTAAGGCTGAAATATTAATGTCCAGACATTATGTACCAATTGTTAAGACATAGCTTTCTCATTGGGTGAGATACTAAGAGAACTACTGACAATTTAGAGAAGAATATACATTTATAACAGAATTGCTTGGAATTTTGAAGAAGATACCACAGCAGGGAAAAGATAGTGATTCCTATCCTAACAATGAAGGTTAACTGGGAAGAAAAAATCAGTTAGAGTCTGAGGAACAGAAAAGTTTTATTTCATACCTTTTCAGAGACTAAGGTAAACCAAACTGTTGGAATTAGTTAAACATTACAGGACAAATCCTAGGTAAGCTCGCTTTAATAGAGTAAGACACAGGGAAGAGAAGTTGCTTCATTTCACTTTATCAACAATGTAGACAAAGAAAATATTCTAATAATAATAATATAATTTTATTTCTGATGGAGATGAAGTGCAGAAGAAGAGCTCAAGCATTATGTTTCCTGGAAGACAGGGAACAGAATGAACAGGTCTGGATACTCCCAGACTCACCTCTCTTGGAAAAATGGTCAAAATAAGGGTAAAAAAAGGTTGGGAAAGTTGGTTTGATTCATATATAAAATACCAAAGGAAAGAAAGAAAAGAGTAACATTTCAATAGTCAGATGACTTACTGGTATATATAAACCCATTTTGAATATTGAGCTCTGAAACTCCTTAAAGGCAAAGTTCCCAGATATGTGAGGAAAACTGGGAATGACTGAGTGCTGGGATGGCATAGATCTGAAATAACCACACTAGGAGAGTAACTAGGAAAGGTTAATCCTGAGAGGGGAATGAGTAGGGTTCAGATTTCCACAAACTGCATTCTGCTCCACCCCCTGAATTCAGTGACACCCATTGCCCTGTTCAAAGTCTTAAGGGATAGAGGTCAGTGGTCACTTAAAACCACTAGGTACAAGGGTGGGGATGAGACTATGTTCTGCAGGTCAGGAGGTGCCCATAGGGTGAAAACAATTGGCCTGGGCATATATAGTATCCTATTTTAAACATATGGAAAAATACAAAGGGAGCAATGAGGCAGTAGAGTCAAATGACGAAGTCTGGGAACACTGGATGTTATTGGACCACTCTCGACTGGAGCCCACTTCATTTTCTTTCTTGTACACTTTTTTCCATAACCAGTTCTTTCTAACCTTAATATGTACTGTAGTAATAAGACGATTCAGACATCACTGTCAAGTCCTGAGGGCACCACCAAGCCTTACTACCCCTTTCCAGCACTTTGGGGCTGCCCCATCTTGTCTATACCTCAGGACCCTACTTCAACCCTCCAGAGCCATCAGTCCCTGCCCCAACAACACCACAGCAGGGCCAGTCTCCAGTTGTGTCCATCCTGTCCCCAGGGATGTGGACGTGCCCATGCCCAGGGCTAGGGCTGACCCACTCCTGGCCAGGGGTAGGATGAGCCCAGCTGCCAGTTCCTGCTCTGCTGGCCAGGTTACTGTGTTGGAATCACACACCCTGTTCCTCAGGAAGAAGCCGTCTCTTACTGTTCCCTGGCACTCACATGGAGATGAGGAACCACATAATCCATAATTTTTATTTGCTTTGTTTTTTTTCTTAAAGCTAAATGGAGCAGGCCTAAATATTATCCGTGTGAACCATGGGACATGAAGAAGAGAAGGAATAATGCCAGAATATTCTTGACAGCTTTAGTAAAACAGCTGTTTTGGTGTGATGGCTACCAGACCCTGAAAAAGCAAACTGATGACAAATACCATTCATTAATACTGATGACAAGTTTTTGCTTTTTATTACTCATTCCACAAGAATGAGTGCTTCAATAAAAGTAGAAACAGCCTGGAAGAAAAACAGATATCAGAATTAATATGAAAGTAATTGTTTAAATTAATATTATGGATCCACTGAGGAAGTAAAACATAGTCAGACTAGTTCAAAAACACAGTAAGAACAAGAGAATACATATTTATTAATGACATATATTCTTAGAGCACATGTGGTAAAAATTTGGTGGTAACAATAGCAACCTTATTTAGATTAAATCATGAAACAGAATCCCACTGTGCCCAAGCATCCCTGTACAGAGCTCCAGTGGGAATGCATGTAACTTGCAGACAGCAATACCCACTGGCAATGGATTCAGCAGTCTGTTCATACAGGATTTTGTACAAGCTGTTACATGTGGTAATCTAAAACTGACAGTAAATAATGAGGAAGGGGTAGAGACTGGGCAGTTCAAGCAATTTATTACTGCAATTATCATCAGGGTATTAATGTCATATATGGTCTCTCTCATCAGGTGATGACACCCCTAAAAAGCATGTACTTCGTAAGACTAAGATATATATTGTACAAGTCAATTATTTTAATAAGTGCTATATGCAAGGTGTTGCAAAGCCAAGACAACATTTTAACTTGTGCAACATGCCACCTGGGGAGAGGGAAACTGTTAAAATCTACTGTACAAAGAAGTTCCTAAACAGATGGTGGGATAAGAAACAAGGGGCAGAATCTTAACAGCATCAAACAGTACTACCTTAAAGTCAAACTCTACATTCTTTTTTTTTTTTTTTTTAAGAGTAGAAAGTGATCTATGTTGTCTGTTCTGACAAGGGGAAAACACTGAGAAGCAGCTCTTGGAAGATGGGATGTTGCTATACAGGCTGAGCATCCACTTCAGATACATGTCAGAACAGGTTTGTAGCTTACAGTAAGAAGTTTTAAGCTCCAGATTTTAACAAAGACTGTGAGGTTGCCCTCGAACAAAGTGTTTTTATGATCTAGTCACAGCATCAGAAGTCCAGAGGAAGAAAGTTAACTTTCTTCACAGTGGCTAGTATGGGGCTATGTTTTGGACTTGTGCTGAACACAATAATACAGAGATGTCTTTATTATTGCTGAGCAGGGCTTACACAGAGCCAAGGCCTTTTCTGCTTTTCCTACTGTCACACTAGTGAGGCAGTTGGGGGTACATGGGAGGTTGGGAAGAAATACAGCCAGGACAGATGACCAAAGGGATATTCCATACATATGACATTGTGCTCAGGATACAAAGCTGGGGGAAGAAGGAGGAAGCAGGGGGGACATTTGGAGTAATGACGTTTGTCTTCCCAAGTAACCGTTACATGTGGTGGGGCCCTGCTCTCCTGCTCTCTGTGGTGGGGATGCCTGAACACCTGCCTGCCCATGGGAAGCAGCAAATTAATGCCTTGTTTTGCTTTGCTTGTGTGTGTGACTTTTGCTTTCTCTATTAAACTGTGTTTATCTCAACCCATGAGTTTTCTTGCCTTCACCCTTCTGATTGTCTCCCTGAACTGGGGGCGGAGTGAAAGAGTAGCTGTGTAGGGCTTGGCTGCTGGCTGGAGTTAAATCACAACACTAGTACTAAAAGTACCAAGAGGCTTTGATTCATCCTCCTGTAGTAAGTGGTATGATTTTCAGAACATCTTCTTTAAACAGAAATACTTAGCTAAAGTAATTTTGTTCTCTCTCTATATTTTTTAAATATATTAGTCAGATACATATCTGGTGTGAAAAGGCACTTGCTTTTACACAATTTTACACAGCTTTGTACTTCGGGACATTGGAAAGAGTGTATACCACTGGAACTAGTGTACTCCAGCCTACAGCTGGACCACTGGACCAACACAATTAACTGTGATTCTCGGGGGATTGTAGTATTCCCACTTGGATGTGAGCCTGCAGAGTCTGACAAAACTGGGTGAACTTAATAGTATTTCTTTTGCGTAGACTGCACTTCAGTGTGACACCAGTGCCTGTGGATCTGGGGCCAGAGGGCATTCATCATTGCTGAGAACAGCGTGAAATATTTCACTGTCATTATACATTGGACTAAACTGAGGTGGGAGGAGGGGAAAATGTATGGATACGGACACTACAGAAGTATCAAATTATCCAAAACATTGTTCAAAATAGTAGAAGATCAACTGTCCTCTAAGGTCATGGTGGGGAGGGTAAGGAAAATAATTTTAATTTGCTTTAAAAAACCCTTGAGTTCAGTATCAGGAAGCACACTGAAACAGGTTGCCTAGGCAAAGTGCGAAGTTTCAACAACTGGAGTATTTCAGTAGATATCTGGACAAACCTTTTTGAGTAATAGTTTAAGTCCATTTGATTCT